AAAATCAGCCGCTTTTCCGGAATAAGCTGCGAGCTGTCTACACTGGCCCTTGAATTTCCGGAAAAACAACGATTCTCTACTGTACAAAATCAGCTACTATTCTGGAAAAACAATTCTGCTCCCGCTCGGGCATAAGTCCTTATTCCGGAACACTGTTCCGGAAAAGGGCCAGTGTAGACAGCCCAGTAGTCTTTTCTGGAAAAAAAACCCCGATCGCAAAAATGGCGATCAGGGCTCTTTTCTGGAAAAGCGCGTCTACATTGGCCACAGACGCTTTTCCGGAAAAAGGGCTTTTCCGGAAAAGCAGCCTGCCAATGTCGACGCTCCTTTTCCGGAAAAACTGAAAACAGAATAGTATTCCGTTTTAAGCATTTCCGGAAATTCATGCCAGTGTAGACACAGCCCTAGAGTGTGATGATATCAAAGTGGGTATACAGACTGCTACATACATACATCAGATTGTAGGCTCAATATTGGTAATTTGCTAGGCTAGTTGTTTTGTGAAAATCCTGCCATAGCATTCAGAAGTTGAAGGTTCTTTACAGTTACATGATTTTTGCTTCAAACCACAATGCAGATGTACTTGTAAGTTTGGTGAAAGAATTAAAACTTTACATTATTTTTTAAAAAAAGACACTTAAGTGACTAAAACATAGTTAAAACAACCCCCAATAACAATTTACTCAACGGGAAGCCTCTCTGAACAGTTAAAACAGCAAGCAGAGTGATAGGAGGTGCCATTTGACGTGGACAGAACAACACTATAAGCAATTCACATTTCAGCCATCCATGCAACCATAACTCTGTCCTTTAGTGATGCCATGAGTTTTTAAAAAAAAGAAAATAATCTATTTTTAAAAATCAGTTAAATTTAATCCAGCACTAAAAATCTGACATTTATGCATGTGTTGTGATTGTATGGTTATTGCAGGGTATCTACTCAAAGACGAATAGATTTTTCACATGCACACTGTATTTTAATTTCTTAACAATTTCTGTTTTTATTGTTTTAATCTTAATTCTGAGTTTTCTCAGGTTTGTAATGCCTATTTTTAGGATAATTATATCTCAATAGTATTTGTACCCTTACATTACTTATATGCACTAACCCTTAATCCAGATTAATGTAGTTTTTATCTGGAAATATAAAATGTAGGGAGTTTAGAGAATAATTTAGTACAGGCAGTCCCCGACTTACGCGGATCCGACTTATGTCGGATCCGCACTTACGAACGGAGCTTTCTCGCCCCGGAAGTCGGGGCGAGAAAGCCCCGTTCGTAAGCTGCTCCGGTGCCCCTGGTCTGCTGGAGACCGTCTCCAGCAGACCAGGGGCACCGGAGCAGCTTACGAACGGGGCTTTCTCGCCCCGACTTCCGGGGCGAGAAAGCTCCGTTCGTAAGTGCGGATCCGACATAAGTCGGATCCGCGTAAGTCGGGGACTGCCTGTACTAGTCCTCTGTAAGTAGTATACAGTATATTGCAAAAATTAGCAAAGATGCTTTGAGATTAGAAATCTTGCATTTTACATTGTTAGATGTGTTACCTTAAAAATATTCTCACTGGAGGCCACCCAGGGTTACACTAGTATGGGTTTATTTCCACTAGGTAAAAGTAAAGAGGAGAAACCAGTCACCAAAGGTTTAAGCTAAAGAAGATAGAACTCTCTCTTTCTTGCACCCATGCAAGCACACACCCCTCCATTCATTCACTCATTCACACCCATTCATTCCTTCCCTCAGGCAATCACACACTTACACAGACATATGGGTTGCAGAAGGAGCCAAAGCATGTGAATCCTGGAAGGTCAGTCTGCTCATCATGGCTGGGGAAGCTGGTCAGGAGGGACACTGAAGAGGAGTTTCTCAGGAGCAGGGGAAGGAAAAAGAGAGAGTCTCACATGTGCTCCTTCTCTTTATACAGTGTCTGAATGGCTCCTGTGACTTATTCACCTCGTCATCAGGGAGCATGCCCAGACTTCCCTTTATCCAGCAAGCAGCATGCTCAGACTGTGATGGCTCATTGAAATACGCTCCATCGATTCCAGTCTTCTTCAAACACACTCTCACACTCTCTCTCCATTCACTCAGGGGAGAATGCAGCTTAAAAGCAAGGTGGCTGCATGTTACAAAGATTACAAAGTTGCAGTTTACAGTAAGTTTGAGAGTTACACAGATTGCAAAGATTGACAATATGGTCAGTTGCTCTGCCCCGGGCTTCCTGGAATCAGCTGCTGATCAGTTTCAGCAGCAGCTGACTTGGGGACGCCTGGGGTTCTTAAGTTGATTCTCTATGTAAGTCAGAACTGGCGGTCAGTTTCAGCAGTGTCTGAATCTGGACGCCAGTTCCGACTTACATACAGATTCAACTTAAGAACAAACCTACAGTCCCTATCTTGTACGTAACCCGGGGACTGCCTGTAACCGTATAACCAGTAAGCATCAGTTTATCAGTTAATGGTGACTCAGATTCCCTGGAAGGTGGCTTTGATGTGACAGGGCAGTGAAATCTCCCTGAGCGGGCAAGAACTGCAGTCTTGCTCCCAGGGAGTTTTTACTGTGGGCTATGCAGTATAAAGCTTAAATAAGCTTTATAGTGCAGAACCTGCAGCATGTAACCACTGAGATTTTCAGCAGTTACATGGTTACCTATTTAACTGAATTTTTAACATCCCTATTTTTGTATAATAAGATCTATTAATATTTTTAAATCTAATACATTTATGAATTGTCTTTACAGATATTGCTACTTTCAGTTCCTGGTTTTTTGCTGAATTGCACTTTAATTGGATGGTTAACTTATAAAATCAATAAGTATGACTGGAACTGGCATGTTAGCATGTTGTTTGGAATCATTCTTAGCGCAACAGATCCTATCCTGTCTGTGGCTTCTGTGAAAAACATTGGTAAGTGTGACGGGGTGTGGTCACAGAAGACCCCTTGAGGCTGCCTCCAGTTTTGCTGTTAAAGCCACTCACACGTTTGCTGCCTTGCTCCCTGAGGCTCCTCACTACCCTGTTGTACTGGGCCAGATCTCCTGGTTTCCCTCAGACAAGGCACAGAGCTGAGGTGACTTTCCCTCTCTCCTCGCCAGAGGAGGGCAATGCAGACAATGAATCACTTCAGCTCTGGGAGAAACCAACCCCCATATGGGATCAAAACTCCAAATAAATCAGTCTTTCACTGAGTGAGAGTTTCACATGTTGAAAGCTCATTCAGGTAAGCACTCTTTCACAATTAAATGAAGATATGCACACAGTTTCCCCCATGTAACAATTACTTACACTGGACTTGATAGCAAATAAAAGTAATTTTATTAAGTATAAACAGTAGGATTTAAGTGGTTGCAAGTGAAAACAGGCAGACTAAAGTAAGTTACAGAATTAAAACTCATAGTTCTAATACACAAAAGCTTATTGCAAACCTACCCTAAAACTGTTCTTATTTCAGTCAAGCCATCAAGTCAAAGAAGATCTTTCATTCTGACCTGGGTCCTGGTTATCCTTCTGGGTGTGACATGCCAGCCAAAGAGAGAGAGAAATAGCTTTCCAACTGAAATAGAGTTCCTTTTGGGCCGAAACCCTTTGTTTCTACACCCCTGCACCTTCAATGGAAAATTACCTGATTAAACTTGTATACCAGTTGTGACGGACTAGGCCAGGTCTGGGCACTGCTGAGGGCATCCGATCAGGGTGAATTGCTCAACACTAGGGCTCCTTACAGCTCCTGACTGAAGGCCTTTCCCAAATAGGCCACAAACCAGACACACTGAACACTTCAGCTGCCAATCCGGCCAGCAGAAAGCCTCACAAGCAAAAACCCCTCAGACACTCCAGCTCTCCCTGTGCTATAATCAGCCCTGGGCCTAACACACAGGTGAAGGGTTATAGAACCCAATCTCACCTACCCTGAATGGGTTTTCCCGGTCCCAAAAGACCAGCCACAGTTCCGTGTCAATTTACACTTTGGAACTTACCCACAAGATCACGCTGGGCCAGTCCTTTAGAATCTAAAATCCAAAGGTTTATTGGTAAAAGAAATAAGGTAGAGAGTAAGGTTGTTTAAGAAAATACATTACATGTTGATGTAAAGATATTGATATAAAGATAATGATCAAAAGCGTCTGGGAAATCTACCCCTAAGGAGAGAAAAGCCAAGAGATTGGGTTTTGTTGGAAAGAAAATGTACTTCTCCACATCTGTAAAGATCAAGATAGCATGACTTGATAATTTGCTTTCTAAATATGATTATCTGCAGTGATAGGCTAGACTACCATAGTTGAAGGACAAGTTACCCTTAAAGAGTGGAGATGAGTTTAAAACTATTTGTGAAGGATGGCTTATTTCTAAAACATCTCTTCATGTTGCTTTAGTTGCAGCTGTTTCCAGTGCTTGTTCAATGGATGCGGGTATCATGATACTTAGTGTGACTATCTCTCTCAGATTTTAGCAACAGAAGTGCTTGCAGCTATTGATTTTCCATTTGGTCAGACTCTATTCAGTGCAAGGACTGATGGATCTCTGCATTCATTTAAAAAAATATTGAGATCCATGCTCTTATCACTGGCTTTATACAGTCCTTCTTTTGGTAAGAAACAGTTTCATCCTTTATTTTCATTCTTCAAATATAGGAAACTCAATATCCTTTTTTCGTATTCGGAACACCACAGGGCTTTCAAACAATCTAGAAAGAGACCTGGGTATCAGAGGAATTCAACTTTAGTACTGTCTGTCTTAACTACTCCATCAAGTCGGACATACAGCCAAATTTGATAAAACAACAAGGAGTTCTGTGGCATCTTAAAGATTAATAGATTTATTTGAGCATAATCTTTCATGGGTAAAAACCACTTTGTCAGATGCATAGATTGACATTACATTTAATGGTCAAGGATCTTGGACAAATTCCCAAGGATTGATACCCTTTGACTCAACTGTTTCTTCTTGTTTTATTTTGTAGAGGCTTGGATGGCAGTCACTGCAGATAAATGCATGCTTCCAGAAATTAGGGATAGTTATGTTAATCAATTTCAATTCCTGCCTCCTACTACCCTTCTTCTAATTAATTTACAGTTTACCACATCATTAATATACAATGCTATTTCACAATTTTTATCTTTTATTTCTTCTTTGGGTGATGTCCTCATGGGTACTCCTTGCAAGGTGTAGGGATGTCCAGGAGCAATGGAGTGGAGCTTTTTCCAGTAGTGTCTGCGAGCCGCACATGCAAGTAACCCTTAAGTCCATAATACCAGTCTTAGACAACGGAGATTGGTTTGCGACCCTCGACCTTCAGGATGCCTACTTCTACATCACCAGCCATCCAGCACACAGACAATTTCTTCATTTTACAGAAGGCGGGGAACATTTCCAGTATTGGGTGCTTCCCTTCGGCCTTTCATCTGCTCCCAGGGTATTCTCAAAACCCTTGCAGTAGTGGCAGCTCATTTGTGTTGAAGGGGCATTATAATTTTCCCCTACCTCAATGATTGCCTTATAAAAGGCTGCTCCTTGGCGGAGACACAACGTATGATAACAATTGCCAGACAGACTTTCAATTCTCTCAGCCTAGTTGTCAACGAACAGAAGTCCACGATCGAACCCTCTCAAACATTGGACTTCATAGGCGCTCAACTCAACTCTACTGCAGCAGGAGCCTACTTACCCATCCAGAGGTTCGAGTCCATCCAAGATCTACTTTCTGTGCTGATCACCAGCCCTACTGTCTCAATACTCACCTACAGTTTATGGGGAATATGACTGCAACTTACGTAGTCCGTCACGCAAGACTGCACTTCTGCTGCCTTCAGCACTGGCTGGTGTCAGTGTATACCCCTGCAAGACACTACGTCCTCAGAACAGTGGCCCCTCCCCCCAATGTTCGCACATCCCTCAAATGGTGGACAGATCCACGCAACCTATTGGCAGGTATTCCATTCCACTGGCCTCAGCCTCCGGCCCAGATTACCGCAGATGCCTCCCTCATCAGTTAAGGTGCCCATATGAACAGCATGTCTGTGGAGGGTCAGTGGTCATCAGGAGAGACAGCCTTCCACATAAAATTTCTCGAGCTCAGGGCAGTCTTCAATGCCTGCAGACATTTCCAGGACTACGTCCATGGTGCAACTATCAGAATACTCACCGACGATATTGCCACAATGTATTACATAAATCACCAAGGCATATCACGGTCTTGATCCCTCTGTGCAGAGGCAGTCTGCCTCTGGAATTGATGAATTTGCAACAAGATAACTTTAATAGCATCCTACTTACCTGGCACCAACAATGCTGTTGCAGACTCTCTGAGCAGACATTTTGCACCTGATTATGAGTGGGAAATCCACTCCGACATACTTCAATGTATCTTTCTTCATTGGGGTTTCCCCTTAAGTGATGGGACCTCTTCGCCACCTACAGGAATGCAAAATGCCAATATTATTGCTCCAGGGCAGGCATCAGTTGGGGATCTCTAGGGGATGTCTTTCTGCTAAGTTGGGGGGAGAAAAGGGTTCTCTCCTGCATGTATTTCCCCCTGTCATGCTTACACAGACGGAGCCAAGCTGATCCTCATAACCCCCACCTGGGCACGCCAACCGTGGTTCCCCTTCCTCCACCAAATGTCTGTTGCTGCCATACGCACTTCCCAGCCTACCAGGCTTGCTGACTCAGGACTGTGGTTTCCTCTTGCACTTGCACCTCCAGGCCCTACACCTAACCACCTGGCTCCTAGATGGATCTGCACATCCGAGGATCTCTGCTCGGAGCAAGTCAAAGATGTCCTGATGTACAGCAGGAGGGACACCAACTTGAGCTACTTACCTCTCCAAATGGCAGAGGTTTGCTTCTTGGTGTTCTGCTAACTGGATCGATCCACATGCATCACCTCTGCACCAGATCCTCTGCACCAGATCCCACATTCTTTACCTGAAGCAAACGGGTCTGGCCATTCTTTCCTTGAAAGTATATGTCTCCGCAATTACCACCTTTCACCATTCAATAGACGGCACTTTGGTGTTTGCTCACCATACTATGAAGAGTTTCCTAAAAGGGTTGACAAACCTTAACCTGCCTCACAGACCCCCACCTCTGCCCTGGAACCTGGACCTAGAGCTAGACACTCTTATTTGACATCCCTTCAAGCCCTTGGCCACTATGTTGCTTCAGATGTCGAAGTTGAAGATAGTCTTCCTGCTTGCTATTACATCTGCTTGCAGAGTCAGTGAGTTTGTGACCCTGATGTCAGTACCTCCGTACACCATCTTCAACAAGGATGGTGTGGTATTATGACCTCATCTAGCCTTTATCCCCAAAGTCTGCTCTGAATTCCATATTAACGGGCCGATCATACTCCCTTCCATTCACCCTAAACAACACATCTTATCATGGAAGGTGATCCTCTACAGTCTTGACGTGCGCCGGGTGCTCGCCTTTTACATTGATAGGACTGAGATTGGCACAAAACAGACCGTTTGATAGTCTCTCTCATGTATCGATCCAAGGGCAAGACTTTGTCTTCCCAGCATATCACTAAGCTCATAGTTTCATGCATCACTATTTGCTACTCCACCTTCAATAGACCACTTCTGCCCCAACCAAAGGCTCATTCTACAAGAGCTGTGGCCACATCCATGGCCTCTTTATGAGCATTTGTCGGGCAGCTATATGGTCATCCAATGCCATTTTCATAAAGCAGTATGCAATTGTGCAGTGTTTGGCTGCAGATTCCTCGTTGGCTTTGGCAGTACTTTTAACTTCAAGCAAACCTTGATTCTGGAGCCCACCATGTAGATATTTCTGAGTACTGCTACACAGTCACCTACAGTGGAGCGCCCACGGGGACACCACTTGAAGAAGAGGAAGTTACTCACCTTGGTGCAGTAACGACGGTTCTTCAAGAGGTGTGTCAC